CTATTTGACCCTCTCATTATCAGATCCCTAAGGTATTTGACATCAAGCTCCTAAGGTGTATTTCAGATCCTTCAAGAAAGTTAATCTTCATTTTAAGTTATGCTTCTCTACAAGGAAAAATTTAAAAAGAAAGAGGTGCACACAGTCATTGTTAACTCTATCATTTAATGCCCACTTGAAATGTCATCAAATAGCAGAAAACTGATTATAATACAGCAAAGAAAGCGGATCTATTACATTTAAACTATTAGTAATAAACCTATCCTTGAAAGGAATAATCCATCTTTATACCTGGGTGCAGATGACCACACACAATCCCCCCATTGCTGGGCCTGATCTAATTAATAGCTGTGCAGTTCCAGGGAAAGTCAGTAGGGTGCCCCAACAGAAGAACAGGTGCCCCTACTTTGTTGTGCAGTAGTAGTTTCCCACTGTATCACACAGGTAAACTTACTTGCCAACCCACCTAACTGTGGCTGCACAGCTGCTAGATCTGACAGAGGGGAAGGAGCAGAGGTGTGTCCAGGAACCAGAAGAGAAAAAACAAGTCATAAAATCTGCTTAGCTACAATGTGCAATTATACTCTCTGGCTATACCTTTGTATAGACTTTAAGCTATCCACTTTCTACTATGAAAAGCACTGCAGTTGAAAATAGTCCTACTTCCTATTGCTTAGTTCCAGCCCTTGCTTTCACCCTTTCACATCCCTCTTATCCAACACAAACATTTATGTTGCCATGCCATTAAACCGCATCAGTGCTCAAGACTTTGAAAAAAGTTAGTTTGAGGAGAAAAAAAAAATCTAAAGCAGCTTCACAAATGCATATCAAGTTATAAAAGAGCAAGACTGAGCAGGCAGAAGAAGAAAAAATAAAGGACTACGTATTTGTGCAACAGGGTTATCCTTTAACAGGTACAACATAAATGAAACTCCAGGCTAAATGACAGAACAAATGGCTCCTGCTAACACCTTTGACAATGTGCTTCCCCATGTGCTCCAAAACCAGATCAAGTCCATAAACGCTTCATGCATCAATCCTGAAACATGACTGAGGCTACAACATGCTCAATGCTGAAATAACTACCTCAGTAAATAAATACTCTCATTTTGTGAGCTCTCAGACAAGAATTAGAAATTAATTCTAAAGTAGTAAATTTTTAAAGGTATCTTACGTCAGCCACAGTAGATTAATTGTTTTGGTCCAGTTTCGCTTTGTACTTCCACTCAAACAAGCTCTGCGAAATGCCTCTCTGGCTAGGAAGACAACTGTTGAATACAGCAGAGTTAGCCTAAAGGAGGTGAGGGGGGGGGAAAAAAAAAAGGAGAGAAAATTATTTCTTTACATATTACTTCTGAAATTACTTCATATTACTTACCTCTGTTTCAGGCCAAAAAAATAAACTCGGAGACATTGAACGATTAAACACTGTAAAATACTTAACAGTAAATTAAACAGGGTTATGCAAAGCGTTATTAACGACACACCCTACGGGCCACAAACCCGGAGATCCTGCACCAAACACGAACACTTGTGAGAAGCCCCATCACGGCGGGAGCCCTTTTCCTTCCTAGGGAAGCCCCACGTGTGTAGGGCTTCAGCCGCCTCCTCACCTCACGTTGACCACGCCGATCAGCTCTCTGGAGAGGTAGCGCAGAGTGAACGCGTTCAGCCCGAAGGTGACCACCCGGAACAGCACCTGTGAAGGAAGCCGCACGGGAAAACTGCGGGCCGAGCGGGGCTGAAGCGGCTCCCGCCAGGCACCGCTGAGGACCAGGAGGAGAAGGGAGACGGCCCGGGGCGGCCCCGCACCTGCAGCAGAGCGCTGGAGGAGGCCAGGCGGGTGGTCTGGTTGAGCGTGTCCTGCGCGGCCATCGGCCCCCCCCGCCCT